AAAAAAACTAGTTAAAGTGCATTACGTCACGAATTTCTAGCACCATCAATATAATTATTGTGTTTATTTGTACAAAATAAAATGTATCAAAATACAAATTAGTGTTTCTGTTTACTTTCATGCTTATATACCATTCTTTATATGCCCCTATTTGCCTGCTCGTGAAAAACAGAGAGACGCAGTATCTGAACAGTACTAGAAAGGGGAATTAGTGGTTAGGACAACAAACATTACCAAATCGTCTAGATTTTTGCAAATTTAACCAACGCTAAAAACATTTTTATCACGGTGGAGCTTGCAGGAGTACTATTTTAGTAACGTTAGTTCTTTACTTTTAATGTGAAAAAGATGGAATTTTTTTTATACAAAATTTTACCATGCGAAATATTCGTACGCGTTAGTCATATTAAATAGAAAGAGATAGAAAAATACAGAAAACAGGTACATATAAAAATCTAATGGGCCGATCAACGGACCTTTCGAACGCCGTGACGCCTGTGCTGTTACTGTTTCAGCTATCCGGCGGTTATTTGGGTTTCTAAATTCATGGATTGTCCATGAAAATATTACACAACTGCTCACGTCAATTGAGGCAGTTCAGGAACTCCGATAGTTTAACCCTCCTTTGAGGGTCAAAAAGCGTTACACGACACTTACTTTCTTCGCACTCACGTTTGAAAAGAACATTTCATGGGTCCTTTCAATCAAAGTGCATAAAATGGCTAGGTCAGTGCTGAAACAAAAAAGGTTTTCTCCTCTGTCCGTTAGCCATGTCCTCAGAAAATGTCTGATATCCTGACCTTTCCCACACTGCCTTTGGACCTGGCTGACCTCCAATTTTAGCACTCGGTCGATGGTGTTATCCTGCCATCACACGTACTTACAGCCGATATTAAGAGCAAGGTAAAAGCCTGTTAAGATTGGTGTCCGCAATTCTCCGTATTCCTCCTATACCTTTAAGTTAAGGGGAAATATTCCCCTTCGTTTCACACTTGACCTTTGACCCCCAAATTTGTCATTCCTGAAGTCCTCTTTCACGATCGGATCCCCCAACGTCCCGAGGCCGAATAACGTGAGCCTTGCTTTCAATGCGCTGTTAGATTGCATGTGCCCAAACTCGTGACGCAACGCAACGGGACGGTGACGGACGGACGGACAACGATCGTTGCGATTCTACAACGCTGTCATCTGAACTACGTGCAGATGAGCTAAAACATCAGTGAGCTGACTGGTAAAGTCGACATCGGTCTAGATATTAAACTGACTCGGATATGTATTTTATCGATCCAACTCTATCCACCAGTGACGGCTCATGTCCCCTCTGACATACGGAACTGCAGTTTTCCAGGATAGCAATTCTGTTTGTGTGATGTCTGCTTCTGCGTCACTCAACCTATTGACATCTAAACATCCCAGGTGTGCAATTCAGATCCCAATTGCGCACACTGCTCATAGTTCTCTCACACACACACGCACGACAGCGCGACGCGCACGCACGCCGCGACGCACAGGAAGTGATCTGCACCGCTCCCACCACGCGCGACGTCGTTTGCCTGCCCTCATGAGGCTAACTCGCTCTTTCCACGTATGACACACGTCCGCTCAACCTCCAGCTTGGTGGCTCTCGTCTCCCCTTTCAGCTTATTAGTCTCAGTCTTCACTTGTGGAATACCCATCCGATTAGCATGGCTCTCCGCCACCCAGACAAGAGTGCATCATGCAGGACGCCCCTTCGCTCCCTGAGCATTTTCGGGAATTTTCCTTGGCTCAGATGAAACACTCTATGCGCTCCCTCGACTCAGAACTAGACTCGGGAGACCGCAATTCATACAGAGTTCATGTTTACGTCGCGACTATTCCGCGCAGACGTTAAGCGGCTCTAATAAAAAACCAATGTTAATGTTACACTTGCTTAGTTTCCTGCTGACTGATAGCGCTAACAAGAGATCTCAAGCGCCCGGCACTAGGAGTTTCCGTTACTCTTGCCTGCTAACCGTAGGCCTTTTTGTGTCGACAGTGTTCATGCGTTGAAAGCAGCGTTGGGAAACACTGCGTCGACTCTCCCGTTGCTAGAGCAGCGGGAACGACTCCCAGGCGAGACAACTATAATGATTTGGTATATATCTAACAATAAAATAGATACAAAATGTTTAATTATAATTGCAGAAGTACAAATAAAGTATTTCTTTAAAGGAATCAATAATAATAAGTCATATAAAAATAATATTTACGCTGAACAGAAATTTTCAAACCTACTCACGCCCGGTGAACCGTGACGTCAGCGCTGCGCATTGTCAGGTTGCCGTGCAGTGAAAGTGGTAAAACCACGTACTGCTTCCTGGGCGTCTGAATTTTTCCTGAGAGCATGGGACAATCTACATATATATTTACACACTCATCGCGCCGCGCTTAAATGTTATCCGCACGCACGGCACGCAGGAGTTGTAACATCTATTACTGCCTGCATGTTCTGCTCTGGTGTATGGCGACTTCATTACACTACCATCATTTTTATTGATGTATCCTCTCGAAGCTTTCTATACTCACGAGCTTCGCCTCTATATTTGGTTATCCGGCAGAATCAGAGACGCCCTATATATAGAGGAATAATACTGTTCTGCAGATGACACAGCTATTAACAAGAACAAATACACAGTATTGCCAAAAAATCATAAGTGGATTTATACATAACAAGTGTGCCGCTAGTAGCGATACAGCTACCTCTCATATATCTCTAACGTTTGTACTGACTCGGGACTCTTGAATTGAATTGGATTTGTAGAAGTGTAGTTGGCGCATTATTCTTTATTTTATAGAAACCGCTGGTTGCGTTTAATTTGTGCTAAAGTTTTCCACCAAGTTGCGGCTTCACATACACGCCGAAACTCAGTGACACGTATGGCACAGGTGGGAGTGGCGAGTTATCTCAATGGGCATGTATCCATATTTCCTTTCAAGAACGATGCTGACTGCTGCTGCTGCTGCTGCTGCATGCTGCTGCTACTTGCTGCTGCTGCTGCTACGGTGCTGCTGCTGAGTACTACCTTTAGGCTGCTTGCACGACTTGGACTGATCTGCTGTTATGAAAGTTCTGCATCGCTGCTGCTGCCGACTACTAGATTGCGCTCACTGCTAACCTGCACACTCGCCCTCGCCAGGGCAGCCGTCTTTACCACGCTCTTCTTGCCACAGAACATTTAAAGATGGCGTATAGTCATACCACCCTGCAATTCCTCAGATTGGTGCTAAGAGAAACCATCTATCTTCAGCAAAAAGACATGAGGCTCGGAGCTCCGGGGAAATCAACCCAACAGAATGGCCCTAAGACATCACAAACGGTCCGCAGAGCTTTACCCCTCCGCAAGCCCTCCACCCGCTGCAAAATCGAAACGAAAAACAATTAGAAATCGTAATCGCTTGATCTCAGCAGTGTTTTAAACAATTTAACGCAGGCAAAAACTACACCAGTACCACTAACGACGCATCGCCTGCTTGGCAGTTAAGCCCACTGGCCCTGTGTGAGGTGGGCGATACGTTTAGTTCACATGTAACATTCGAACTTACTACAATACACGCTCTTTAGAAATATCATACGATTTAAGCCAGCTATATAAACCTTCCTTTAACCAAATTTAGCTTTTGATAATTCACTTTGACATGGTAGCCCTCTGATTTACCTGCAGGACACGTGTGAGTGAGGGGGGTGGGGGTGGAGCGTGAGGGGCGGAGGGGGGAAGGGCGCGGGGGTGCAGTGCGAGGGAATGTTCGTTGGGGTGCTGGGAGGGGGAGGGGGGGAGGCGAGGGGGGGAGCGAGGGGGTGCAGAGCGAGAGGATCCATGTGTGTTAACCCTGCCGCGTGGGTGGGGGAGGGCGGGTGGCGGAGAGGAAGCGTGTAGTCTGAGCCACGTTACTTCTTGCGCGAGGTGCGGGCGTCGGAGAGGCGAGGAGAATTATTATTTCGGAGGTGGGTGCCTCTCTCAATAATGCCATAAAAATGCCCTAGGGGTCAGCCGCTGAACAAAAAAATGTATTTTCAAATCGCTGCTGTCCTCAGACCATGATTGGCGTTGCGGAGAAAATGCTCTCTCCGATACCAATCTGCCTTGCGCGCATTTTTGAGGGCGCTGTATGACCTGTGACCTCCAATTCGGGCACAGTATGATCGGCTTTCTACATGAATGATGATGCCTATACAACCGATATCACGAGCCCGTAGGTCGAGACCGTTCTAAGGATTGTGGCCGCGCAGCCTTAAGTTATGGAGCTGAATGTTCCCCCTTCTTTACACTCTCTTGACGCTTTGGACCTTCTGCACCCCCAGCTTCGACATGTCCCAAACTGGTTTTCGGCATTAGCGCCCCCCCACGTCCCCGTAATATCAGTGACTGTACAGTCGACGGCGCGGTTACAGATTTGTGCCCAACTCGTTGACGGGACGGACAGTCAGTATTGAGCTAAAAACTATTGCCCGATGTATTTCAACAAAATCAATTCGACAAGTTGACCTAACCCTCCATGTGAGACTTCGGAACACCTTCGAGTGTTCTCTTACGAACGTGTTGCCGATTCTGGACCGGCAAGACACACCTACCTCTACGCTTCGTACTTCTTCTTCTTTCAGGCCCTGCCGACCCGCTTCCATCATCTCAGCGACGCCGTTCGACGGTTGCTTCGCATCGCCGGGTGGACACCACATTCTTAAGCATCGTGTTATATTTAGCTGACTATAGCGCCCTCAGAAAATTACCCATCGCTTGGACCCAGCACAGTTGTTTCAGAGAATTACCGATCGACGTCCCATATTCTACATTGGAGCCTATCTCCGACGACTGTAAGAAGATCCAAAACTCACTTCACTGATAAATATTAAAATAAGACAACATGAGCTGAACCTTATGTTGTTAGATAAACGCCGTCGAGCCACATCTTAATGATTTACGAAAGGGAGTTATCATGAGTCACTTTTATGTCGTGTCGTGATGTGTCATGAATGGACGTACCGTGCTGGAGAGGATGTCGTAGGGACAGCAGCTCAGCAGAAAGCTCCTGCACACCCGGCTGTCGGTGTACTTCAGCGTTGTCTTGCTGGCGCCTGCTCAACGAAGCACAGCACGCGTTACGGCGAAGACGAAAACTACACGGCCGTGCGCTGACGCCGACGAACGCGGCAATCCTGACTCGCAACGACCTGCACCCTCTCTACTTTCACCCAGTGCTGGTACAGATGCCAGCGATATGCTAGTATTTTTTAATGCATTTTTATTATCCCCTTTTTTATTGGTAGTAGCATTCACAAATTGCAAATTGTCGCTAATCAAGTCAGCTCTTCAATCTGACCTTTGTCATACATTCAATGGTGAATTGGGAGTTTTTGTGAGGTGGACATGTTGTAGCATCTGGGTAAGAAGAGGAGAGCACAGGTAATGCTGAGCTTGCTTAACTACAAACAACTCACTCCATAGTCGCCCTGCAGCCAGCGCCGCCTCCTGCCCTCCTAACACAAATGCTGGGAGAAAAAAAGATATTACGTACGCGCACTCCATTGCTGCCATCTGGTGAAGATCCTAACCAACTACGGGGAAATAAGAGCGTTAGGCGGGCGGCCGACGTAACCACTACACGCCGCACACGCTACTGCAAACAGATATTACGTACGCACGTTGCCTGGTTCCACATGCTGCTCCCCAATCGGCACCACCAGTGAAACAATGAGCGCCAGCAAAAACTGACAAACAGGCGGTTTTGCAGAAAGGCAGCTACATACGTACATCACAATCGTCACGGGCATGGATCCAATGTTCTGCCTGAAAGTTTTTATCAAATACGACGCAGTGCACCTAAGCTAGTGGACATGCATTGCATGGCTCAATATCATGTAAGCATAAATTTGCAGACTAGCACAGTCGCATTAGTATGATGGCAATAAACTTATCTTCTACAGAAATGGAGAACAGGAGAGTGAAAAAGATAACCTACAAATTTGATATATATACATCTCGTGTACACTTATACAGATAGGATATTAATTACTACAAAAGAAATAGACTTAGGAAAGAAATACGAACACAAGAGCTGGTTAGGTTTTTTGACAACTCACAGAATGTGAATAGATAAAGAAACATAAAAAATTAAAACTGTTTTCATAGAGGGCAGATTGACTCAAACCAATGGTTTACACTTTGCATCCATAACATGAACAGTTGTCCTTCACAGCCAACAGACACTTGTGTGGTACATGCACACAGCCGTAGACTCACATACACGCACACACTCACAAATAAATGCAAGTGTTTAGTAGCCAAAAGAGTGTTGGCAAAACTAATTCAAAAAGACAAGGGAAGATTCAGAAAGACACACGTGGAGCAGATAGAGGTCCATTACAAATACTGTGACGAGACGTTGTTCGTGATGCACATCTCCACATTGTCCTAAAGTAACCTTTGAAGATTTGTGCCTAAATGTGTTTTCACTTAGAAAACGGACAACTATACACTGTGACAATACGCACCATAATATCATCCTTGGCTCTCTGCTCCTCTCCTTTCCCCGAGACAAGCACATTTTAATCAGAATTACACGAATGTGTATAAATTACTTCCTATAAACTTAAGTACGTACATGTACACGCAGGACCTCTTTGCCATGTAGCCGCAATGATATGAGTCAGAGACAACAACATGATGATGCATGTGATGGGTAGGTAGCAGAGCCATCATGTCTAGTTATACGTACCATAATCAGCAATGACCCTGCTCATATCTACAGTTTTTGCTTAAATAACTATGACAACTTTGCATGTTTTATGTTATACGCACCCATCATTACGCATTCCAAATAAGCAAATTTATTTGTTATTCTGAGGTGTTCTTGACTTCATAGACACACTGTTTTCAATACGTACGTGATCTTCTGTATTTATTTTAATTTTCAATTTTCTTGAGTAAAAAACTGAAGAGTGATCAGTCCTGCAAACATTCCTGAATTTAAAAATATCCATTGCTGCACTTTAAACTAGTGTTTTGCTGCATACAAATATCTCAATAGCTTGTTATTATATTTTCTCACAAAAAGTACATGTAAAATTGTAAATTTTAACAGATGCATTTGCAATCACTTCTGACAGTTTTAGCATGCAGGAGTACATGCATATTGCCAGCTGCCATAGGTGAAACTCAAATGATCTACTACCTCATCTCCCTTTTGATTGATCACCTCTAAATCTCTAATTTACAATAAACCTGCTGACACTGTACTGCAAGAAAGACTTGCACTCTTTCCAAATAAGTACGATTCCATATGTAAGATTTAGACTGTCACTCAACCGAGATTCCTAGTTTAATAATTATAACAGATTCACAGGTACATCAACAACAAGCATATTTTGCTAAAATCTCACAACTCACGGCAGTACGCATGTAGCTGTAGTCAGAGCAACCTGACAAGCATTGAAGTGCAAATATTGGTGTCTGATTCCATAACAGCAGCTGACAGTGATACCTTGTAAAAAGATAAGATTAGAGGTTAGATAAAATACTGCACACTCAGGTATTAATTTTCCGCTTTTCATATATATGTGTATTAATTTTCTATTTGAAACAAGTTATACGCATCTTACAAGAATAACATGTTGTACCTGATTTAATATTAAAGAATTACTTATAAAAGGAAACTTACAAATGGTCAATTAATGTGAATGTTAGGATAACATGTTGGAAATAAACAAGAAAGTGATATCATTGTGGATAAATGATATAAATGTAAAGGAACCCAAACAACAAAAGGCAAAATAAAATTATAGTCGTTTTTAACATTATAAACAATTGCCAACCTGCCCTAGCAGTTTAGGATTAAAATTTTAACACCAAAATTTTCATTAACCTACCAACTCGAACTTATTTTACATTATAACCTTAACCATGCCAACGATTTTGTTTGGCTTTTATAGAAAAAATTACAAGACAATGGCATGAAAACATGTCAATGGAAGAACAAGCATGCTTGTTCGTGCTAAAAATGTAATAAAATTTAATTGTTATGATTATGTCATCTAAGTGATAACAGGTAGCTAGAGCTGATGGCTACAGTTAGACCATATATGACAGCACAGCTGCACATGTGAAAGTAACATAGGACCTATTATGTTACATATTGCCACTTCCAGAGGTGAGAAATGGGCTCAACTTTAAAATATATCAAGAATCTTAACGGTGTGCCACAGTAATTAGTAAAGAATCACTTCAGCACATTATTATTTATTTTTCTTACGTTATTAATTTTGTTATCCGTTGTTATGTTGTATATTAAATGACTGCATATGGGCTTGTTTATTTCTTAGACTTATTTATATAAATATTACATTTACTCATGCCGATTTACAATTCAATATTCTGCTTACTAACTTCTAGTATGATTAAAGTTATACGTGCAACTCTTCTCTTTCTTCAATCTTGAGTGCAATATATATCTTTTCCAATTGTTAGTATGGCAATCAATCATTTCACTCAGGATTGAGGGAACAAATAAATTTCATGACAGATTTTACTGTGGAGATAGGTACTCCCAACCCATGGGACTGCCAACCCATCCCCCACCCAATGAGTCAGTAAGGACATCACTCCACACCTGACAAAGACTGGCACGTATGATATGGTATCCCAATGTCAATGTTCCACAAAGTGATAAATTACAAAAAACTACAATAGGATTTACAATCTATGAATAAAAACCATTGATGGCATATGTACATATTCTTCATTGACTGGCAGTTATTTAATTCAATTCAACTCAATTGATTAATTATTGTAAAATATGGTAAACCTGAAATAGCTGAGCAATTTTTACTACAAAATATATATATATATATATATAAGCTATATATAGCACATACTGTATTACTATTAGTATTAGTAAATATTGTAGCACATGAACTATAGTCTATATTCAAAGCACATATATATATATATATATATATATAGTTTAGCACATTCGCGAAAAAGAAGGACCGGGGTCCCAAACTAGTACTAGTAGTAGTAGTAGGAATCAGGGGCGTAAATCCCGGGGGGATGGGAGGGATGCATCCCTCCCGCTCTTGAAGGAGGGGGGGATGGCCTGTACAAATATCCCCAGGGGTCAATTTTAACAGTCGTCCGGTCGTCCGTGACGACTGGATTTTCTCTCAGGCAACTACAAATTGCTTCCGTGGTTGTCCGGTGTCCAACCTCTATAAAAATTTTATATTCATAATGCGCGCGTTCATTTTACATACGGCCAGGGTTGCACAATACGCTGCAAACCTAGATGTCTAGACGCATTGTCTTGTAGGGTTGAGTCTAGGGTTGAGTTAGTGTCATCAGACATGAGAATAACTGAATATGGCCCACAGTATGCCTCAGATTGCAGGAAAATGGCTTAAATATTTCAAAATTTTCTGGGGGGCATGCCCCCAGACCCCCCTACCACTGGCATGCCTACGGCACGCGGGCCTGCCTGCGGCAGCCAAGGTTAATTTCGCCCCCGGCTATCGCCGATCATCCCCCACCCACTCTGCGGTACGGATTTACGCCCCTGAGTAGGATTGTGCCAGGTTTTGTGTTGACTGTGCGATTCAAAAACTATTTTCCGGCATCAGCCATGCCGATCTATTTTAAACACATACCATCTCTCTGCGTTCCCATCAACTGATCCAACATATTACGCATCTGCTCTTGCGCAGACATGTTACTAGATTTTAGGTTGCAAGTTTGGTATACTTCTACAAATTCAGCGTAAACATGGTCAAAATAAAATCACAAGGAAAAATGTACAGGATATGATCAAGTCCCGGATGTAAATTGGTCAGTATCGCCATCTACAGGGCAGAATATACATTTAGTAGATTTATAGGATCACAGAAATAGATACTGATACATATTTCTAGATATTTTTAGAAATAGATTTATATGTATTTCTATGTATATGATGGGATAGGACAAAGAGCATTATTATATGACATCATTAGGTTTGTTTAATGGGTTAACCCATTTAAACGTGCTTATCGATTAAATTTTACAAGGCTAGTACATTACCACATAACTTTATTCACTTATTCTTGTATATCTATAGAAATGTATATATAATTTGGATTTTTGTGACCGAAGATAAGCCAACACGCTAATTCTATCAAATTAATATAAGCAACTAAAAGTAAAAAACATAAGTAAAAATGATTTATTTTCTCAAGATTTATTGTACATGATGAATGTCACAAAATTGTAATAGAAAATAATATACTAATAACAGGAATTTTAATATTACTGCTACCAGGTACTCTACACTGCATATGCTTCAAAGTATTGTTGAAAAATTAAATATAAAATAATTTCCTATGTGATGAATATAGTTTATTATACTTGTACAGCCATATTATATGGCACATATGATGATCATACAGCATCCTCATACATAATGCACATGCACTTTTCTAACTAAATTCTGATTTTGAGCATAGCATTTCAGTGATCATCTTTGTCCTTAAGGAAGGTAAGATCTGGAAGATCACTCCAGATGTCTGCCAGTTTCTCATTGCATTTATCATCATGTTCCTCCCCTACACTCCACAGCATTTCAATGTCATACACCTCCCTGGTCGTTGGCATCATCATATGCAGCACAATGTTTCCTGGACAATAAATGCAAACATACACAAAATAAGTTAAAACAAAACACTGAAAATCAAATTAATCTCTAAATCTGATGTATTATGGAATAATGGAAGTGTAATTGCTTGCCAAGTAATGGGAATTACGTTTTCAATCGCATTGCCAATTAGACACATCTATCAAGCCATTGACGCACACAACACAATATTGATCGCCATAATAATGGTTATGCCATGATTGTGACAAACATTGAAGCTCAACAGGCGCAATGTTATGCAATTAACCTGAACAGTATTGAGTTGAGCACTTTTTTAGATGGATCTACAAAAGTTTAGGTTTACTCATCAACTCGGAGTCAATATGTCAGGTCAACTGATTTCACTACATTTTGTCTTACAAGTTCAAAGTGAATTAAAATAAAAATGTATACAAACATGAGCTTCTTCTGTTCACTGGTTCATATTCTAGCTTCCGGTAGTATTACAAACCGCGTAGCTTCCTTCGTTTTGACATAAATCGTACTTTTGCACGACATGGTTTTCACGTTATTTACCGTCGTGTGGCATTGCCAAGCCACAAATTCTCGTACAGGGCAACTCGAAGGAGGCGTGGCAGGGAATTTAGGCCGTAGTCTAGCCGAGTGCAGAAAATGCGCATAGAAATTAAGTTTCGTTGCGCCCATGCTGGGTTTTACAAATTAAAACTATTATACATTTAAACTATAGTTAGAATGCCTTGTTTTTATGGTTGAATCCAGCAGTTTAAAAAAAAATAAACGCTGCGCTGGTAAAATATCTGAACTACTTCACCCGCGGAGGAATGATCTGTATGAATCTTAGCAAGTCAATTGACGCTCCAACTGATTGTAGCTTTTCGCACGTGTTTTGCATAGCAACCGTTACTATGCAATTGCAGGCAAATGCATGTGTTTACACCTTACTTATCATGACTAATAGTATGTGATAAAGGCGAGAGTTAACGTCGTCACCACTCGTTAGCCGAACAAAAACTTCTTCGCGAGATAACGTACGGGAGACACGATCCCTGCCGCGCCTCCTTCGAGTTGCTCTGTACGAGAATTTGCGGCTTAGCAACGCCACACGACGGTAAATAACGTGAAAACCATGTCGTGCAAAAGTATGATTTATGTCAAAACGAAGGAAGCTACGCGGTTTGTAATACTACCGGAAGCTAGAATAAGGACCAGTGAACAACAGAAGCTTAGGTTTGTATACATTTTTATTTTTATTCACATCGAACTCGTATGACAAAATGTAGTGAAATCAGTACCGAATACGTGTCAAACTCCTCTGTCATTATTAACCCCTGATATATATATATATATATATATAAGGAACAAGCTAATAATAACAGAACACTTACCAAAATCTATCACTTTCCAATCAGATGACCCTTCTCCTTCTATTCGCACATTTTTTGGATCTCTAGCCCACCTCCGTTGCTTATACTGTTAAGGATAACATGATATCATTAACAACTAATGTATAGTATAGACATCAGTGCAAACCTGAATTGCAGAATAATCGAACAGAATTTTTCACTGCCACTCACCTGGATTGTAAATGCCTCGGCCATTGCCCGCAGGTGTCGTGGAGAGAGTCCGCTCACTATAACGAGGTAGTCACAATAGTTCTTCTCTGCCGGAACTTGAATCACGCAGATGTCTCGGGCATTTTCCTTCTGCAGTTCCACCACTAGATCATCTATGTCGAACACACCTCTCTCTCCTCCTATAATACAACAAGTGCCGCAGAGCGACAGCGCTCAACTGACGTGTACTGTAGCCGGGTATTCTTCTGATAAACTCACTGGCAACCGAATCAAGTGCGCCCTCACGCCACCGCGTTCGCGCTCAGAGAATATATCTAGGATACTACTAATACAGATCTAAAATCTATGATAGGCTTTGCTATACAGGTAGTACAGTAATAAAGATACAGCTGTGTAACTTTTTAAAATGACTTCGCTATATTAACATGTTATCATGGATATGCGTCGAGCGCGAGCATAGTGGTGGTGGTGGTGAGGGCTCTAATAGCAAAAGCAGTTCAGTCCTTTCTTAACAGTCAACAAATCCATGTTTAACCCTCCTGAGGGTCAAAAAATTATCAACTTATCAGACACTTACTCTTCGCACGTCAGCGGAAATTTCACGGTCCTTTCAATAAAGTGTTAAAAATGGTAGGTCAGCGCTGAAACAAAAAAGTTTTGCACTCGGTCCATTAGACCATGTCCTCAGAAAATGTCTGATATCTGACCTTTCCCCCACTGCCCTTTGACCGGTGACCTCCAATTTGACGCTGGTGATGGGTTTCCTCCCCATCACACTATACATCGAATATTAAGAGCGTAGGTCGAGCCGTTGAGATTTGTGCCGCAATTCCGTATTTCCTCCTATACCTTAAGTTTAGGGGGAAATATTCCCCCTCCATTGACACATCTTGACCTTTGACCATTGACCCCCCAAATTCGACATCCCGAGTCCTTTTCGCGATCCCCCCGACGTCCGGAATAAAAAATACCGTACGTCGAGCGGTTAAGATTTGTGCCCAACTGTTGACGGACGGACGCACGGATGGACATTCACGCGATTCTACAAGCTGCATCTGACTTCGTCAGCTGAGCTAATAATACAGTAAGCCAAGGTTACGATGGTTCCTCCCCTAGTGCCATGGCAAAATACATTGCCAAAATCACTTTAGTCCCAGTGGTGGTATTATAACAAGGATTAACTAAATGGCAGCAAAATTATGCTGGCCATGGTTGTGGTTTTCTAAGATTGGATAGTATTTTATGAAGTCATAATTAGAAACCGAAACTTCAACTCCATTGAGAAAAAGAATGCATGATTGTATTTCCTCACTTTTATGCCGAAGTGCAAATATTTCACGGTCCTCTGAAAGATCCAGATCAACACCATAGTACGTGTCATCAACTTCTTCTTGGTACTCTTCATCAGACTCCCCCTGTACACAGACAAACTACATTAAGCTAGAATTAACAAATTTGTTAGTGTTTGAACAAACGAAGCCAGCAGTGACCTCAAATAACATGCAATTAATATATATTATAGTCACAGTGAGATAAAGGTTACATTTAAAAGCTGTACAACACACAATGAATTCATTAATGTTAGTGTCAAATGCTGACAAATTGACATGAGGCACTCTGCTAGTGTAGTGTACAACTACACCAAAAATCCTGACAAAAACAAGGTGCCCTTACCTATACACTGTACTTACTAGTTCCTGGTGTTCTTTATTCATCTGCTCTCGGCTGTGTTTAGGGAAGGAGAACTCACTATCCTTTAGTACATCGTCGAGGGGTGCTTTCATAAAGTCATGTTGCATCTCTCGGACAAGGCACTTCAGTTCCAAGTCGCCATTCTCCATGTCACCAAGGTCATTAATCTCAACTTTTGGCACCAGCGATGTCAAGTCACGTCTTTTGGGAAAAACCCCATCTGAGCGTTTAGCATTTGTGTGATTGACTGCTGCAGATGATAGAATCCTACTATAAGGAACAGACTTAGGGATCCAGTTGTGTGCAGCTACCCCTTGTCCAATTACACTCCCGTTAGAGAGAGCGGCGTTCCACATGCGCAATAACATTATCAACTTTGGTTGCAATAGGATCAGCATCAATGAACAGTTTACTGTGAATGCATTGTCAAAGGCTATGCAAAACTCGTGCACAACTCCATCGGTGTAGCTTGTCTTTCACAACAGACACATAGCCAGTTGCACTGTAACTACTCTGCGGACTGCAGAGCCGTGAGATTTCCTTCTGTGCATCTGGTCAGGCATAGTTCCCTAGGTGGCGCAGTTCGTGTTATGAAGCTGAAGTTGCCACCGACATCACATCCTAAGAACAAGAACATTGTGTTTTGATCATCATTGATAGTTTGATACATTATCCACACCATGATCATCATAAATGTATAAAAGACTCAAGCTTAACTTCACTTATTGTGCAAAACTGCAAGATTGTACTGGAATATTATGAACACGATGCAGTTTATTTGGCCATGGCCATGGCTTGCCGCGGGCCGCCACTGCCAGCGGCAATCATACGCGGGCTATAGTTACTACTACTACTAGTAGTACTAGAGCTAATTAGTACCCATGCCACTACTAACTAAATGAAAGTGTCAATGACACTGTAGCTCACCACAAAAAAGGACACAAATGAGTGAGTGAGAAGAAGTCAGTTTTAATTGAGCAACTATCGACGTACATTATAGAAACGAAGAGTATATATGGGAGAACTCCCATTATATACTCTTGATAATTATGTGTAATTTTTTACGTGAAAATAAATGTTTGAGATGTGAAAGTCTGAGTTGTGGGCGAGTGATGGCGTTACACCTAAATGATCGCCATTTAACGTTTTTATAATATTCAGATTTAGGCACTGCCTAAAAGCGGAGCTCCCGATGTGTAACGTGTAAGATTGAGAGGATACGCTTATTCCACGTAGCTGCTATATACCACGTGACAATCTGACAATGGTGTTTCCCTGCCCAATCAACACAACTTTCTGTCAAAAGGTTAATTGGTTGCATGAGAGTGTTTACTTCGATAGTGAGTTTTTCTAGGCGTAGCACGACGGTTGCCATCTGTAGCCTCATCGCCGCCAATCACCAAGTCCAATTTATAAACCAAAATGAATACAATTTTGCGACGGGTAGATGGCCCTATACCCGGCTTTGATCGTTATCTTAGCGATGGCGTTCGAAATAAAGGATTATGCTGCGTTCGACATGTTTGTAAAATTTAACTCTAACATAGAGATTTATCGCGCAGGGTGGAGAGGACTACAAATTTTGCCATTAAAGATATTGTCAATGAAATATTGTAACAAACGAACTCTAGACGACGTGGTGACACCACAGACTCGTTATCTGGCAAGTCTTATAATATGCTCATATAATGCCAACCTACCTAATTTGCAATAATTTTTCTTTTAAATATGAAAACCCTGTAAATACGTTTGGGGCCGCAGCCCTTATTGCATTCAGCTACCAAAAATGAACAAAATCCGTTGAACCAGAACTGACTAATAACAATTTCCATTTTTGGCCAAAAATTGCCGTGGCTCAGAAAGTACGTCGACTGCGGTACGCTCGAAAATAGGACGTCTCAAACGCTCTCCATAGCAGTAACAACGTATAGCCCAATTTCAAACATGGTGGGTAAACGGTTCCTGAGTTATCGTTGACCGGCTAAGCCAATGTTGACAGAAGGACGGACGCGTACGACGGACGACGACCCATGCACTAGACATCTGACGATGTCAACGTGACTAAAAAACTAACAGATGGCATACCTACGCACGTCGGTCCGCTGTGATATATCATAGTTCGCATATATGCTATTGCTACATCTACATCGGGGCAAAAGCTAGACTAGTAGTACGTAGCTAGTAGGATTGAGCAGCGACCACCAAGACGGGGGTCA